ATCTTTCGCAGATTTCAACAGTTGTACTTTGTCCAACTATATGTATTCTTCAGTACATACTAAATATATAGTCTCTTTGCGGAGAAGTACAGATAAGATCTTTATGTCATCGTGTGGATCGCTAATGCGCTGAAACTGAGTTGACAGATAGACCTCCATCTATCTACTTTGAGTCACTTTATCAAAGGTCCTTTCCGTGATAAGTCAAAAGCACTTATCACAAAAAAAAGAATATCAGAATCAGCTTGAGAGTAAGCTTACAACATCGAATAGAATCCATATTTTTTAGGCACAGGCAACCCCGCTACATTACACGAAGTCTAAGTAGCATTCATTTGTATTACATCTATGTTAGATACGAGAATTTATAAAACGGCTTGGAACTATAAAAAACTAGTTTTTCTAGTAAATCTAATTCATGACGATCAAGCGAAACGCTTAATGGTAATGTACTTCACTTTTGCAAGTTCAAGCATTTAGAAATCAATATTATCTTGAGGAGTTTGTTAGAATATCGCTATGATTCATCTACGATATGAGAGCCACACATACCTAGAATTTGTAAATGATACTGGAAATTAACTCGTGGCGTGTTAAAGATAGCGAGCGAAGACGAGCGTGACGTAGGATCCGATAAAGTTCAAAGACCCTGACGTATCCACAATAGGCAACGATAAGACGAAAGATACTTGAATGATCAGGTTAGAACAGACCATCTCTTATCCTATCTAAGGCGATAACTACTCCACCGCCTCGTGTACGTTGCTATCCACTTCTATCTAAAGCCAATTCAAATGTTTTTGTTTTCCTTTCTTTGTTTGAAAATTTCTTCAAATTCTATTCTTATTTCAAAACGCTGTAGCTGCACTCGTGCTCGCAGCGATAGCTTTGTCAGTAGAGTTGAAAATTTTACGCTGTAGAATTTGCATCAGTCATGGCTTAGCTATGACTGACGCATGACTTGCCGCGTAAAAAAGCAACCAGATCATAAAGTTTTGTTAACTTAACGATACTTTGCTGTTCTATAATAGAATTGACTACTTTCCCCTATCGTTGTCCGAATGTCAAATGAAAGGTATTTCAAGATTTGACCTTTTTAACGGTTCATTTTGATAGACTAACGAACTCGTTTGAAAACAGTTAATTTTTAAGCTTGTATTTTTAAAAACCCTCGGAATCGTCGAACGTTTGCACCGTTCGCCGACTCGATTCCAATTTACGGGCGGCAAAGGATCGGTGAAACGAGGTTGCTTATAGACCTGGCTATTCAATGAGCTATATGTCAATGTAGAAATAGAGTTAACATTTCTAAATATAAGTATCGAGCAGGTATACACATTAAGTAACCCTGGCGGCATTAGACTGGGGTTGACAGAGGTGGTGTTCTGCGAATCGTTCACAGAGATGCTCACTATTATAAACAACCGACCGTACAACCAGTCGTGTCTGATTAATGCCAAGAGGCTACCTTTCGTACAGAGTCAGCGCGTGTAACGGGTTTTGTAGTCGCTGGAGACGCCCTAAGGTCAGTTGTGACGTTAACGTATCATTGTTTATGCGCACTGTGAAAACTGTTGGACTCGCTATACGCGACCTTTTCGGGCAGACGGTTACCGAACGCCTGAATGGACGTATAAAATTCGGACACCCTCTACCCTAGCTCGTACCCCCTTTCTGTAACGGTAAGCCATGCATAAACGAAAGCCGGTCTTGTGAACGACAAATGAACCTGGGGTGTTTTGTGACCAGTTCAGGATTAGCCGTCGTTCGCGCACTGTGTCACCCGTATTCTAGGCCTTGCTGATAGGAACTTCGTTGAGTGGATCAACCAACAGCAGAGAGAAAACTCTAATTGTATAAACTCGCAGTGTCGAAGCCAATTTTGTCCTCAGGGTTCCTCACCTTTCAGCGAATAGTTACTAGGTCGATGAATGACTATGACACTGGACATACTTGAAATATGACAACATCTACATATGGGTAACTAGTAACGTGCGTAGTGAAGTGGACTTGTACCAAGCAGATCGATTTTATACTTTGTGTACGGAACGATTGACCTAAGCCGATTAATTAACAGTTGTAATAGATTTCTTGATCGACATTTTCTATATGTAGCCGACGCCTAGAAGATATTCTTTACGTTGAAGAAATGACGCCTTGAGGAAATAAAGCGTGGCACGATCGTCGAGCACGGTGCGACCCTTCTATCCAGTCAGTCAGCTAAACAGTCTGACTGATGTCGAAATGTATATATAAGTAAGAAAGGGTTCAGTTGGTTAAAAGTGCACTAATTTATCCTGCAACAATAGCGTACAGCAAAGCGCTGTTACAAACTACACCTAGCCTTATCGTGTTGTGATACAGTTTACCTTGTATATGATCCAAGTTAGAGTCAACGAACACAGCTTTACACTATCGAATATTTTGTCTTTTCGAAAAGTCGTTCACAGACCGTTTTTATATCAATTTTGAAAAAATCGCCTAATTATTTTTTACTGATTTTTTATATTGTAGCATCAATATATTATTTATTCAAGTAAGCCTAGCAATCATGAATAGGAAGTCCGCTTAATTCCAATAGGAAGCAGGGACGTCTTGGGCTAGCAGTTGGTTACGTGTACCAAAACCGCATTTGTACGCGATACAGAACTATGTGATCCTAGCTTTACGTTCTCGTTGTGTGGCTTTTTATATTGTAAAGCTGCAACTGACAATCGTCTTTTATCGTAGATAGTCTAGGAACTAGCACCGGAGGCAAGTGCTATGATTCGATGACTACCCGAGATCTGGCGTTGTTATGATAACTGTAGAATTCATCGAGGTACTACATCGAGTTGTATCAAAAATACGTCTGTTTCTCACATCTCCTACGAGAACGGCCGCATCTCTCCAAGGGGAAGCCTTCCATTAGATCATTCAGGTGCTGTCCGCGTTGACAAGAACCTGACAGGTCCGGAATTCCCACGGGATTACTTCAAATAGCGTGTCGCACTAAGCTATAGTTACTACAAGAACCGTTGTACGTCAAGCTCCGTAACGCTGTCGCGCAGCTTGAAGAAACCGCATCAAATACTACGGCTTTAGGTGTGCTAAACGCTCATGCGTATCATTATAGTAGTTAGCCTTCCCTTGATACGTATTTCTTGGAACTAACCTTCTCGTATGGATCACACTCAATCATTATGAAATCACGGCACGCCTTATCTGGCTTCGACATAGTAAAACTGCGATTGAGACGGTTCGTAGAATCATCGAGAGTTCCACAATCAAACAACCAGTGTTTTCACAGCCAATTACGATCAGGGTGCGAGAAAAAGAAAGCGAACACTTAGGGTTTATTGGCTGGAATGTAACGTATTTCTTAGCTATCTATCGATGCTCCAAATTCAATTGATAGGTAAGTCACTTTAGCGTGATAGACGAAATGATAATATCTGCTTTGAAGTACTACCGCTGCATCAAAAACAACGTTAATGTAAAGAATCGGATCTTTTTTTTATGGTGGAAAATCAAATAGCTAGCTATTCGGATACTAGTCATTTGAAAATTACGATTTTGACATAACAACTTGCTGAAAACACGTTTTAGTCGAAAATTCCAGGTTGAGGTATTCTAGAGGAACGATTTCGCTGTAGAACCTTTTCAGTTCGGTGATACTTAATTTGTTTTAATTATGTACATCTGGGAGGACTTCGACGCAGAAAAACAATATTCACCGTGGGCTATATCCGCTGTTCGACTTTGGCGGCAAATCTCTGAAATTGCTTTTGCAAGAATTGTTCGCACACGGGGGCAGCAGGCGCGTGGCGTGTCGGCTTGTTTCCTTCTCCGACAGTTCCCCAACAGTAATTTAGCTGGTGTTCGGTGCATAGATAGCAAACCACGTACAACTTCCTTTCGAGCAGCAACTTAAGAAGTTAAACGGTAGCAACAGGCATTGGCAAAGTCTAATTTCATCTCTGATATGTAGAGTTCGATTTCATTGTCCTAAAGAGCCGACCGCGGAATATGCACGCTTTTGATAAACTTCCTTCCTCAAAATGAGTTTCATTACCTTAACGCAAAGGTATTAGCGCCAGGTCACATGTTTTAATTTGAATGGTTCCGAGTCGTGCGTTTGCTTACGAAAAGGGGTTAGTTACGATAGATGCAGATATATCTATAGTGGAGAATGAAAGGTCTCTCATTGAAATAGGTCTAAACAGTGTCGCGTGGTTTGCTTAATAAATGATCCGGTATAGCGGATAAATTCGCGTACAGCCCGCTCAGGGCGTAAATATCTTTCAGAGAAAAATCACTTAAAATGCCCATTGTTTCAAGTGTGGAAGTCTATAATTGTAAGGGTCGACTATTTCATTATTCCGAACAAAAATCTGACACTCGTGCTATTCACATAACTAAATTTCTCTATTTCGTACTTGTGCATGCGTCCATGCTGGCTGGCTAGCTATCGAATGGTATATTGTTACTGTTACGTACGAAATATTCTGCCACGTATCCTACATTGTCTCCTATTGATTCGATCGTCAAACACTCCGGTAAACGTCTGTTCGTAGCGTTCATACCTAGTGGCGCACGTGAAAGGCTCCCACTCGATGCTTCTTATAATAACGGCTACGCCGTTTCGCTTGCCCATCAAAAGCAGAAAATGGTATCGGTTTGCCAGATCGCGAGCGAGAATAGGACGCTATCAACTGTTCATTGTAATCTGTATATATGTACATAATAAAATTTGTTTACGATTCCCATAAAAACACTCCCGTGTCAAATATGCGTCCACGTATCTGCGAAACTGACAGATAGCGCCAGTAGCGCGCACATAGGACTAGCATATCATTGAGTTCAATTACAACCTTTAAGTGTGATTCGGGTCTATATGCGGTACGTTACAAGTGGAACAGCTTATCGCGTTCACACTTTGAATAGGCCTTCGGCGTACGTCATTACAATGAAAAACTAGATAAATACAGTCAAACATAAATATCCTCCAATGTGGTAGTGCTAGATGTATGTACTTATGATTACGTTGGTTCATCGTGTACGTAAGCTAAATACCTATCGATGATATTTATCGGTAAGTGACTTGGAAAATGTTCGGTACCCATATATGTATCATAGTGTGTTTCCGTTCGGGTGTTTTTCAAACGGTTTATCTAATGAATCAAGCGGTTCAAGGCGCTCCAACTTAACTACATGATTGTGGAAGAGTGACACCCTTCCACAATTATGTAGTTTTTCCGTAATTTGTAGATAGAGCGACGGTTCTGTAGCTGAATCTGAATTATAATAGCCGACATCTGCAGGGTGATGTCCAATAAACCAATCATCGTAGTTGATTAGAAGACCCAGTTCGTTCGACTGCGATCACTGTTAAGTTCTGGAAGCTCTTGCACAGCAAGCCAAGCGATCACTTTTGTAGACTTTGCCAGACAGTATAACTAATGTTTTAATATGGAGTTGGCTACAAACGTTCGTGTGAATATACGTCGGTCTATTGCCCTTTATTTGATTATTCTGTCCAAGATGCAAATTCGAGCCTTGCTTACGTCTGTTTTGCGAAACCATTGGTTTAGCTATGTACTTTGATTCAATATAAAGCATTCACGCAAGACTTCTTTATATTACCTATCATCTATATACAATGCAGCTATGTGGTCACTCTATTTTGGGGATCCATATCCACTCGGTTTTGAGCTTTTACTCATTCTTTCCGCAGTCTCTATCCTTGACGATATAATACAAATACCGAGAGAGAGTATATAAGCCCACATTTGATTTTTTCACGCTCCTATTCGTCAAGTCGATAATGAATGTTATAGTTTCTGTTGAATCAGATACGATAAAAATTCTACGAAACAAACATCTACGAAATCTTATCTCCAAACGTGACAGATTGTCTGATAAATAATTCAGCTCGGATGCCAGGATGTTTGCAGCGTACATGTTCACACGGATTTATGTTTCACTAATGTCTACCCTGGTCGACGAGTCGTTCAGTTTCTCATTAGTCTGGCTATTATCAACTCAGTCCGTCGAGAACCCGCGCCAAAAAGTAAATTAGTTCGCCTTTTACTTATCGCCTTGATTGTCGTTAACATAAATATCCGTATTATGTAGATTATCTAACTCGAACGCAATTTACACGGTCAGATCTGCTCAGCTCGTGTTGGCGTGCCTATCAATGATAACTATAGGCGGGAGATAGTTAGTTGATAGATCAATTTAATCATTCCATATATGATCAACATTTACGTCGACTGGGAGCCAGCGGAAGCGTCTCGGACCAAATTCCCGCGTGAATCGAACAATTTCTCAAGAAAATCATATTTACTGAATTGTGACGTTCGAACGGTGTCAGAGATCGCGCGGTGTTGTTTGGATCCGGGATGAAACGATGATGATTTACGACAATCTTACTCAGCAATGAAAGAAGCTTACTAGGACAATATTTTCATTATACGTTTTGTTTGGGCTACAATTTTGTTTCTATGGTAAACGAATAGTTAGTTATTAACAGGTGGTGAACACTAAGTATTGGTTAATCGATAGAAGTGCATGGACAAGTGGTTACCGCCAAAAACATGTTAAGCAACGATTGGTAACCGACCATCAAAGAACGGGGACGAGGGAAACGGCTTGATCCTGGAACCGAGAGATCCATTATCGGTCCTTACCTTTCTATTCATACGCCAATTTTAGAACTATTTCAGTTCTATCTAAGTTGGTATTATTTATCCAAACTAAGATCACTGTTATTACTTCCGTCGGCTGGGCGATACTGCTCTCTAAACTAAAGCCAGCTGGACAATGTAATTAGCAAAATGGCCGTACACGCATATATGTGTCCAGCCAAAATCAAAATTGCACTCGTTTCTCTCTGTAAACATATGGCATTTTGCATATATGTGTTTTTTTTGTGTAAGCATGGAAACGTTTGAAGATTTTCCCTCGTTCTTAATTTTGACAAAAATAACAACACTTCTATTTAATTTGCTTGGCCTAGCCTAAGTTGGCTGGGTGTCGTACTGATATTGGGTTATGTCATCATTGGCTGGCCGCATTGTTTTAAACAGCCTTAGCCCGTATAGTCAGTTAGCGATCTGGGTCAATTATCGAGCTTACTCAAGAACCGTCAGTCAGTCAGTCTGCCAGCTACCTAACCAGACGGCGAGGTGGCGCTCAGTTATTGTACTTCTTTTAGAACTCATTAGTCAATATCCAGAAAAAATCATACGAAAATAAGGTTGAACGCATACAAAACACTTGTTGCCAACTCGCTCAACTAAGCGGAGCTTGTTCCAGCCGTGACATACACGTTACACATTGAATCGGTTTGGTAAGAAAGCGAAACCTTTGCCACTATGCCTAACGTCAACGGGACGATAGCATTTACTCTGCACTATATAACCGTCCACCGACATAAACGATTTCGTGTGATACCACGTCATAACGATACTATGCGAATTATGTTTACCGAAAATAATGCGTTTAGTCGGCAAATAGTAAAGTAATGGTGGTATATTAATGGCATACATAGCCATCGAAGACATATATGGGCGCTGGGAAACTTCTGCGAAAGCCTGGTACACAGTGGATACACGGTTAATAGCACCTTGACCGAAAGCTCGACCCCGTGATGGCCTCAGGGAAAATCGTTAGACTAACCGGTCGCTTTTCCGATAGTTTCAGCTTTTGCCCAGTTAGAAATCTCTCTTGGAGAAAAATTAGCTGTCCTTTGATTGTAGCAGTATGCATTATTCAATAGCTTATTGTTGCTCACTGATCCATCAACGTAAATATACTTTAAAAGTTGAACCCTTGAGATCAAAGAGTACGAAACGTTCAAAATGCAACGGTCAAAATCTATACAAAGAGTGCTACAATAAAGCAGTGTAGATGAAATGTCGACTGACGTCCTGAAATAGGCTATTTAATCGGGCGTGTTGCAGTTAACATTGAAAAGTGGATTCCTTTTTGAATAGATTGAAACGTAGCGTTGTTGAATGGCGCATGTGACATTATGTTAAATCATTCCAACCAATAAAAGTATAGGATTCATTCATTGGTTCATATAGACTCATCGGCTAATGTTCGCGTTGTTTAGTGTGTGTAATAGTAAATTAAGATTCTCTCATACAAATCAAACAAATGATGCCTATTTTCCAAAGGAAACAATCAGCAGTTTCAGTCAATTGAAATTTACTGAACGACTGCTATCGACATACTGGGCAACGACTAAATCAGTCATAGAGGAAGAGCAGTCCCGGCTCGAACTCCTTCACCCCATCGAGGCGTCTATATTGACATGCAGACGGTGAATGGTTTTATAACGAAATCAGTTAAGCTATAATACGATCTTATCCATATATGATTTGTCTATAATTTTATGAAGGCATTGCGTCAGGCAGTTGATCATCACCAGAAACCGCACAAAAGCAGCCCAGCTACTCTAGATTCGACCTTATCTAGTATATATGCTGGCTAATTTTAAAGTATAAATTATACGTTTGGTATGTGTTTACACCATAAATTAAGTTGCAATATTTCTATCGTTGTGAGAAAATTATTTGCTATTATACAAAACGTCTAATTTTTGTAAATAAATAAGGATAATTAAATACGCTTTCGGGAGAATAGCGTACAAGCAGGGGTCGTGGGTTTCGTCCATACTCTATTTTTTTTTTGCGACATATTGGTCTGATTTCAAAGTTTAAGAATCGAGGAAGCATTGCCTCGCACATTGTTCAGTTACAGATGCTTGCCTTCTGTGACCATCTAGCTAGTAGGAGATTCCACATAGTGCTCTGGTCGGTACATCTACGCAGCGGGGCCAGATCAGACATCTGTCCATCAAAGCAGAAAAAACTTAATAGACAGCGGAAAGCTCTGTACTCTGGTAGCTCCGAAGCGAAATCATCTAAATGCTACGTTCGATTTACGTATCTCATACAGCATTCACGTATGCGTAGCACATCACCTTATATATTAGTGCTCCATATGGATTGAAAGTATAGAATGAATATTTACCTACTCTATTAATTTACATTAGCGTATGCACTAATAAGAAAAAATTACCTATAGGACACGAGTGCAGTGTGATTTAATTAACATTTAATTAATAACATGAATTAATGTTTTTACTGTGTGTTTCGGATTTGCCTATTTACTTCGTGGGCCGCCAAGCTGACCAGCTAATCATTTATGTCCTGAAAAGATTTACGACAGTGTGTGCACACTACGACGTTTGACAACGTATTAAGTCTGGTCTGCTGATGGTAGATGGTGTAAATACAGAAAGCGGTGACACCCCATTACTCTTGGCAATGACAATACCGTTCGTTGATGGGAAGCCATTACTACGGCCACGTGGTTTATTACAAAGTCCGAATAAGATGAAACTTGCTATTGACTATATATATAAACTTAGAATGCATACGTTATTGGAACAATTGCTCAGGCCCATTGTTGGCAATACATATAGTAGCAGCTTAAGTGGATAGCTTAAGATAGGATATGGTGCGAAATAACACGAATTGCGTGAGACAGATAGCAAATGATGACCATCGACGCGTACGTATCGATGAATAAGAATATTAATTGTGAGTTAGTTCTTCTGATGTATCCACTGTAGGGGTACGTTCTCATTAGAGCTTTTTTTTTTTTGACATGTAGGTGACTTCTTATTACGCCAACAACTTGTTTCGTCAACGTGTGCCAAGAACAGATGTCTCTTCAAACTGCAAATGACCCCCGTATCTAAAAATCAAAAGAAGAACTAGGTCTTCTCAGCCGCAGTAGTACTGTGGCTAGATTTTTGTGCACAACACACAAATCTTCGTGTCGTTTAAATATATCATATCTCGTTATCTTGTCAATCAGTCCTAGATTAAGATTTCTTGGAGGACAACAAAGCCTGTTAGGCAAAACGTAACAAACGGGCGTTCATCTGCTTCTTCCCTGATAGATGAGTGTATCCCTACATAATAATCTTATGTAGCATGTTCCATTATTTCGATGTAACTGTGTATGTGCCGGTGAACGTCGCGCTGGAACTCGTGCGAGCTGGCTGACCCGGATCGGTTTGACTGCACCAATTACTGAAGACAAACCACATGCTGGTCTGCCGCATCTTCGAAATGTTATATAGGAATAGGAAATAGAAACGAAATAGGAAATAAAAACAAGGAACTCAGAAGCATCTCGTTATTAGTCGTTAGGATCAGTGACTAGACGATAAGTTCTAGCTTACATGACAACATTGTGACGGATGCTCGCGAAGATGATTATCATATTCACTACGGTTAACTGTGTGGACTATAAGATGTAGGCACAATGACGGTGTTGTTGCAGGACAGGATAAATAAAAATAAGGAATACATTAAAAATTCATTAAGTTGACATGTTTCATGCAAATAAAGCTATGTTCTCGACCGAATTGCCGAAGGCCGCAGCCTTTCGAGAATGTTGGGCCCGTTTTCATTAGAATATATCGTCTATTCTGTCACAGTAAAATACGGAGTTGACAGCGGTAAACAGTGAAGTGTTAGATTAGCAAGGCTGCTTTGCCCAAGGCTAACTTCCAGTTTTCGATAAACCTGTTTTATATGCCTGACTTACAATGGTAACCAACTTCAGTGATTTCCGATTCGTACGTGTATCGCGGAATTGGGGAACTTTTCGAGTTTTAAACGCGCTAAGATTCTATTACACTAAGAGTATCGGCCTACGACAAATGGTAAGCTAGTTTGATTATGCTATGTTTATTAGTGAATACAGGATTTATTACAAATTTTATTAAATATTTTTAAATAGGCCCTAATAGGCCGCTTGTTCATAATGTAGGCTATCTAATAAGGGCCGCTGGCCAGATTCTAGCTACAAAGTTCTGTGAGGCTTGTCCATATTCAACTGGATAATCAGGCCGCAGACTTTCACAAATAATGCATCTGCCACGTATTATGACCAATAGCAGAGCCGATTAATCGATAGGCGTCGCAATGTAAACCAACTTCTGGACCCGTTCCAATAGCGTCGTATTAGAGAATAATACCTACTAGATAAATCATATTTGTCTAGTATGGCATGTACGATTTATACGCCGCAGTATATATTCACAGATTGTAATACAATGTAATTAGACTAACTTTATTTTAATATAGAACTGGCGAAATATGTAAACTTAAAATGTGATTGTGTGTAGTTTGACAACCATCTATGAGTTGTTATGATTAACCCTTAACTTTTACGGACACCAATTCACTAACTTAGAATGAAGCAGAGATTCAGATTGTTAAGGTAGGACAGGGACAATTCCTGTATATTATCATAGACTAGATTATCAATATAGAACTCTGATTCCGCTTCAGTACATTCGAAATATATTTCCATTCAGATTTCAATCTCATTCGTGTAAAAGGTAACTTTAGCAAATAAGAAACCGTGCTGTAAGTCCAGCCATTACCTGAGTCATTTTCATACGCATTGAGCCCCTATGAACATCCGTCCTACCTACTATAATGTTGACAATTTTGAGAAAGATTTTAGCCGACCGATATATAATTAGCCCTGCTAACCTTTTGTATATATATAATTTTTCTGATACTGGGTTTAAAGCAGTCTAAATGTTGTACTTATTTTTTTCCCTACTAGAGCCTTACGAACATTGTATCCTCTAATATGAAAAATCTGCTTTCAGATTACTGCCAGAGGCCCTTTGTTGCTAAATGCAGTGATTATAAACTGTGGCTACCAACAGTTAGATAACGGTAGTTTTAAGATCATTTACTTTGCGCAGATAAACACAAACTGCAACATTATACTGTCTGTGTAATTTTCTTTAACTTTCTCTACACAGGGACCGCTCGGCGTGCAACATTCAGACTAGCGAAAAATGTCGCAGACTTATGAAAAATCAGCCAATAATGATACTATTGTATAGGAACTATGAGACTCTTTTTGGGCAGTTAATCTAAAATTGAATATTTTCAAAAATATTATACTGGGACACGTGGTCGATGCCGATCGATTTGCAAGAAACCGTAATAAGGACAAAGGTGAAAGGACATTCTAGCTAACTCGTTTTGGGTTGGGTCACTTTTTAAACGCCCTGTATTGCGCGCATAAACATATACGTTTAGAGATGTTCGGCCATAAGTACATCCAATCATTGCAATAACAGACGCTCCTGATCTCAAACTGCGACCGCCGTACTATTATATACAGAACAAATTTCCGGTATTATTCGTATCGCCATCGAAATGATTGTCCTACAGTATCCTTTTATTTGTTCCAATTGTCGAAACACTCGCACGATGTTTGCGGTGTCCTATTGTTATTAATATGTAAGCAAATCATAGGGGCAATAGGGCGAAGCTTAATTTCGAAAATCGATTCAGACATAGTCACCACAAAAATCATCAAAGCGTTTATTATTCGATAGATACTCTGGATTGGCGCATCTGTTACTGTCTTCAAACTGCCGCTAGAAATACCGGATCTCGTCGATTTACGAATAGAGACAGCGTAGGCTGAACATGTGAGGCGTTCTGGATTTAAGCAATTGTAAGTTCTGTCAGTCGTTTTGATAATAAAAGCATCGGTATTGCCATAATGGCGTACAATAGACAGTAGCGAAATCATGTAGGTTGGATAAACACACCGGTCATACCTAAAGATTGTAGCTATTATTAAAGTCACTGTGGACAAGCTATAGGGCTTTCAATTGCACTACGAAGAGGACACGCGCGACGTTGTGCAAAGCGAACTCTTGTCGAAGTTACCTATAAACCTATTAGACATGAGTGTTTTCAAATGTGCACGCTTTCGTCACGGTTTCAGGGGGGGGGTACCTTCTTGGCATCTCCTCATATTTAGGTATCTCGATTAGCAGGACATCTGTATATCGTTGTGATATAGAGGAAACAAACACCCTATATAGGCCCATTTTATCGCGTCGTGGAAACTTGCTACCATTGTATTTGTCATTTCCGGCTTTCGTATATGTATATTCCGGGATTTAACAGTTTTTTCATTTATACTACAGCAACCTACGATAAATAATTTTAGTTACAATTAGAACTAAATGCATAGCGTCTGTAAACAAGTCTTTGATATTTGCTGCCGGCTCGTGAGCGGCTTAATCGACGTTTCAGCGGTGCATGACTTTCTTATAGTCCGATCACGGCACGGGTTTGAGTACATTGCGGAACAGCGTATCAAGGGACCCCTTTTTAAGGGCCTAGTTGTTAACCGGCGATTGTTAACTAGGTAACTTGACGGTACGCATATTAAGAAATAGATCTACCGGGGAGCTTTTTTAACCATAGGCAGGTGATACGTGTATCTATTAACGGGCAACAAATATGGTTGAACTAAGTAAGGTCGACAGAATCTCTAGGACACAGCTAAATGAGTTTTCTTATTTTTGAGAATCAAATCACTGCTACCCAAATTCCCATGATATTTGTGCGAGGGCTATTGTTATTAACTTAACTTTCCATCTAGATCCTTGTTCGTACTATGGCTACGATTGAAAAACGAAATGCGACGAAATCGTTACGAGTAGTTAGCTATGATCACATTTTCTTATGTTCTTTGAATATTCACCGTATAAAGAAAGCGTATGCTGGTGGCATAAACGCCAAGCGATTTCGGTATATTTTGCCGGGCTCATACCGTTCGAGGGTTTCTGCTTAGTAAATTACAAAGCATTATGCATTGTAGGAATGACAGTTAGTCGTTGTTAAGTCCATTACCGCACTGATTGCCTAGTCTCTCTCTAATGTAGAGAAGGGGCACGGTCTTTATCCTGTTGAATACTGATTATCTTCCAACTTATCGCTTTCGTAAATAGGTGTATTTGTGTACAGTTTTATATACATGCGTTGATACCTGTACTATTTATACATTGGTATGAGATAGTTCTTCGATACGGAAAACCATTAAGCGACGTCTATAGAGACAATACGCTAGTTTTATACAGTCAAGGGTAAAATTGCATTGTACACAAGGTTCGATCGAATCGGCACGAGTAGTTGCGGGCTTCGTATAACCATTGTAATTGCGTTCACGGGTCGCGTCACGCAATTGATCGAAGTCCACAATGACGATCTGGATCTGCGTTAACATCATTGCGAGTACAAATCAAAATCGTTGGCCTCGCTTCTCTTCTCGTCAGGGGGGCGACGTCAGACTATCTTTTGACGCTCAGCTCTACACCACGCCTTCTCGTCATATATATGCATCAAAAACTGTGAAATGTATTATTGACTATGCTGCCAATTGGTCCAATACATTTCTGCTCTCTATTTTTATCCGCGCTTGAAGATGATCACAATGCTGATTTACACAATGCATGCACCTATTATCGACAGCATTGGAATATATCGCGAGGTCCTTTCGACGGGCCTGCCCCAATGTAAGTGTAATAGCCTTAGCTTCGTGTATAACGTATTGCAGAGACACTGTCCTTGAAACACGATGTTCGATGGCACGACGAGTGCCTATGCGCTGAAAGAGATCTGTCAACGTCCGGCACGTAACTGCCCAACTTTTTTGGCAGCCACTACTCATCAGTTCCCTACAGAATACAGCGCAGACGTGTCTTGTATGTATGCTCCTTTAAGAGTCCTATTTCTGTCAAATATTTTTGGTGCTTAACCTCTGGACCGATATCCTTTCCAAAGCTGTTTTGACCAAGTTAGTTGCATAGCCGAATGGGACAGGGGCAACCTGAAAGTAACGAATGAATAGTTTCAAGTTAGCTAAACAACTTTAGAACTTCACAGTGATATACATTTCCAGTAAGATTTACTGGACAACGAATAAAATTGACGTAGTATTATGGAAGTTATCTCCAATTCATCACATTAAGACACCTACTTTGTGTAGGCTTCCGTTGCGATTTTTGCGAATACGTCTGTTGCTTTTAAAGGCAGACGTAGTTGTTTTGAACATGAGAACGGGGGCAGTATTCTCGTTATTGAATGAATAGAGACACCGGTACGAATCCCGAAATGGTGCCTCTTGTTGTCCGCATACATTACTGATGAGTCTTTGTTCTACTAACTTCTGTAGTAGAAGTGTTACTTTCTCTCGCGTAATGGCCACCTTACAAATAGACTGATTGTCAGCTGAGCAGATCAAGACATCTCGATGCTGTTCAAGGTAGTTTATAGTCCAGGATACAGCTTCGTTACCTGCGAAACAGTTTTCGTAGATACGAAACCCCTTGCGACGTCGTCCAGTTGGCATTTCACTGCACACCGCTGACACAATCATATTCCATGTTCGAGTAGCTCGAAACTGCTCCATTTTATTCCGACCGTGTCCGTCGCCCTCAATCATTGTAGCATGAAAGTGGTCCTGCTTGGGAACGTATATTGTCCTCACAATTTAAACGTGTTTGTGGTAGACACTTGCTATAGCGGTCGTCAATGTCTTTGGACTCTGACTAGCTGCTAAGACAAGGCCGACGGCTGTAGATGTTCAAAGTGGGCCTCCTTGCCAGAAACTGAGGGAGAAGGTTCAGTGTACATCTTGCCTATAGTGGACTCACCGCCGCTAGTTCATGCTCGCGCCTAGCCATACAGGAACATAGCCTGCCTACGGCAGAACAGCCGACGCCGTCCCTTTACGGGGATCGAGCTAGAGGGCGGGAGAGACGGGACACACAAGTTGACCGAACGCACGCATACACAAAAATGGCTGTGCCGGTTACCTACTGCTACAGGATAAAGCCCATCTAGTTGGCAGATACCGTTTATGTAGGCGTGTAGAAATATGCAACAACTTTTTCTATCTAATGGAACCGAGGTAACAAATGGGTACTAAAAGTCATAGATATACTTACAAAACTTGTCTTACGATCGCTTCGACTGGAAATTAACTTACTTTTTATAGCTCCATGTCCAAGTAAAGCTGTTACGCACGTGTATTGGCTAAGTGATTTCGGTACTGAATTTTTCTGTAAAACTGAAAACGTTCGTTGTAATTCGGTTTTTCTATGGAAAGCTAGACGAGCCAGCTTTGGGCTGATTAAAATTGTAAATGCCATAATGTAACTATTCTACACAATAAAGTTCTTATTTTCGGTCGAGTGACTTACATAAGTATTTCGGTGCATAATATCTTCTAACGTCACCCACGAATATTTCCTTTTTCATTGTTCATTAATTAGATGTGGATATACCAGGGTTGTAGAACGGTAGTAAATGATTCGGTATCTCTGAAAGAAAATAATCTTGAAATCCTTCGTGTTGCTTACAATTGTCGTACTATTCTCCATTTCTTTCAGAAGTCCTTGCGGGGTTCTCGTTTGATTGTCACAAACTGCTCAGAATATATATCCGGGGTGCGCTTTTCCGGCTTATGGTCTTCTCAAAGAAGCACAGAAAACTGTAAAAAAAAAGTATACGAAAAGTGAAACAAACGCAAAAAAATTGTTGCGATTTGCTTAACAATTTTAGCTTTACTGCAAATGTTCAGTTTTGAAAAAAACGATAGAGATGGAGAGTTAGGGGCATGAGTGTCGTCTCTTGTTTATCTTTGAAAAATTGCGTTTAAGAGCTCGATATGAAGCAAACCGTTGGGGGGGGGGGGGGAGTCTTTTCTTCATTTAAGTGACCGGGCGTCTTTATCAAACTATTCTGATATATCAAAGAAAAAATACTGCTACAACCGTCCGACGTGTAGTTGTTGCAAACGCTGTACGAATTTTCGAGTTGAAAAAGTTGTGCCAAACGACGTTTCTGTGACAGGGTAAATATCAACAAAAAAACGAGTGTTTTTTTTAAGTGGGTTTGGACCGTTCACATAACGATATCTCACAATCGAACCTCGGTAAGTACGCCAGTCGACTACTGTTTTTCGGGTGGCTATGCATTTTATTCAGTGGTCTTATAAGTAAGCCTGAAGCTTTTTATTGCTAGGTTTTAATGTATTAATGATCTAAGACAATGTGGCAATGCAAACCAGATCAAACGGCAGGAAAAGTTTACATGTCGATGCCCAAACTAAATATACGGGTATAGATGAAAATGCCTTTCACAATGTGAATCATTGGCTGTTCAAAAAGATGACCAAGCCTTTCGTAAACATCTTAAACGTTGAAAATTATTGCGATATATTTATTTTAATATATTTCTTTAATCATTAATCTCGATGGAATGTTTGTACTCCTCTAATAGTAGATATATTTTCGGTTTCGGAAAAAGAACCACTTGGCGTGTTGTTCTACGTTCTGTTCTACATTCTTTGCTTTCGATTAACAAAGGATAAACAAAGGAAAACCGCTTTGTTTTATTTAACTTTTTAAGTTAGCATAGTTTTGTGTAACTGACAAAAAATGTGTAACGTTTATGTGATTGTCCTTGCCCCTGTCTGTAAAGCCATAGCTTCTTGAATGACACGATTGCCCTTGCTTGGTCGTAAACCCATTTGACGGGCCTACACGTTCCACAGACGATGCTTATTGAATCTTATGGGAAAAATTCAAAGAACGCTTATAGGAAATCCCGATCGTAGCAAAATCCTAAGGCCTAAAATGACTAAACGCTTAATGTAACATTTTCAAATGGTAATAATCAAGTGGGAATGATGCTGTAACTAAAATCTATCCAAGGTGCCGTAATATTTTGATGTAACATATGAATGTTTGTTTAGAAAAAAACACACACAAATATCAGTTACGAAATATAGCATATTGTTTAGTAGAAATTTTAAAGCGTGGATATGTTCATTACTTACATTTATTTAAATGGCCCACTTGTTTAAAATGACCGGCTCTCTTACCTACTGGGCGACTCAGGATATCCTTTTATTTAACCTAAGTTTGTAGTTGTCAACGTCTGCAGGATTGTAAATCATTATTGTAAGTGCCTTGTTTGTGTCTGTGCTCGCATTATCGGCACATGATCTTCGAAAGAAGAAAATACGCACATTTATTAGCAATCATAGAGTGTATATTGTTTTTTTACCGTCAAAGAATAGACACTCATTCGTGGTCAAAAGGATTTCAACGGACATCTGTCCGCGACGTCAAGCCTCGTAAGGCCCTTTAAGATGCATTGGGTGCTCTTCTGAAAACGATAGGAGTATGTAGAGCTATCACCAGGTGGTTGCCCTTCAATAACAAATGTTTGGGTTATAAAATGTTTTTATCTGCGGTTATAAGAAAAAGGACGCCAGTGTGAGTCGGGCCGGCGGTGCGGAGAACTCGCAAATCTCGAGAAATGCCATCTTTCAAAGGAGCACAGGTAAAAAAAAAGCAACGAAAGTAATCGATAGATTTTATTCAATAGTATTTCATATATTTCGGCTGTCTATACAAGCTTCAGAACTTTATACCACCTCACTGTGGCTAAAAGTAGAAAAACGTGGCTTGCGAAATCTCGATAGAAAATACCGACTTAGAACATGTAGCCGTTGATTTGTATTTCCTTAGTAGGTCCCTCACTCCCTGAGCATATTCACGAGTGTTTTGTAAAATCTACAGTCTGCAGCCTTAGGCAAACAATAAGCTGCTTTCGGCAAGGTCAAAATTTATGTCTCAGATCAGACCGACCCTCGTAGACAAGTCCAAAAGCGTAAGTGAAATATATGACTTGAAAAATAATTTGCGTATTTGGCTTACTTAGAATTGGTTCGCTTTTAAACAGGTTGAATGTAGAATATGGCAAATGATACAAAGAGGGAGCATTGCACGAACGGTACAAATTCTAAAACGAATAACATGGAATACATCTTGATGAATTTCTGGCAGTTAGAAAGGCCGTCCCACCTTAATTCGATAGTAGGTTTGTTCCCATTGTATGCTCAGTAGAAAAAAAACGCGCAATCCACCCGAAAATTCTCCAAATGTTGGCAAAGTAGATATTTAACGTTACCTGATGTAATTGCCATTTTGTATAGATACATAACTTGTAGCAAAAAAAACTTCAGAATCGCTCATATTCTTCCTTCCGCATCATCATAAAAAAATAAAAACACTGAATAAGAACCATGTCCAAATAGACGTTTGTCGCCCAAAGACAGTGGGAACAAGCAATTCTCAGCACCGCTCCACAATTTGGCATTCTGTGTTTTGATTCACCGTAAGCACTGTGAGGCGACACTGAAAAAGACACGTATCGTATATTGAAAACCAGTTTTTTCCTAAACACACGTAGGAATGTCATAACTAACAGACTTGAACTTTCAGCTGCCTAGATTGATAATAGTCATATTTTTAGGTTATATGTTTATAAATCCTTTTTTCTGAAGATGCCTCTAGAAAAATGCCTCTTTACACAAGTTTAGCTTAGGGATTCGCATTTGTGGCCACCTTTTTTTATGAATTTTGGTCACTTTAGTGGTTCACTAGTAAGCCGTCAGCTTTGAGGTGCTGGCACCGGTTATTTGTTCTCATATAATTTTTAAGGATAGTGCCTACTTGACTTAGCTCTCACATAGAATAGACCAGCTGTTTGCCTAGAAGAAACTAATTCGACTGATAGACGTTGGTCACTTTACAAAAAAATCCTCTAGGGAATTGCCGAAATAAGAAAACCATTCTGAAAATAACTGAGCTTTTTTTTCTAGGGAAGGATAGAGTCTTGCTCATAGATAATACTAAATATATGTATGGGTCTAAGGAGAATGCATTAAAGACATTTTTAGTCGATAAATATAGATCATTGAATAAAAGCACAAAAAAATATTTCATTGGCCAGTACAAGCTCGGCTAGGTATGTCGTCTTAGCAGATAAACTGCACAAAGTTGGTTACTCTTCGTACAAATTTGCTCTATGCACCGTAACGAAAGTTACGGATGCAATCAACAGTAAAAAAGGGTTAGACAGTCAATAGAGCCAACCGCTTCGAGAAAGATAGAACGTGAAGGTTATTTTTTCGGCAATGCGTGTCAGTGAGATTCGAAGTATAAACATGAACTTTTTCTTAATGAAAGTAAGATGTCAGAACGTTACAGGCGTGCTTTGGGTTCGCAGCGACCTTGTGTCATTTATGCAAATGGGGAAGCCGCATTTGTCCTATAAAATTTTTTTATCGTTTGTAAGGCTGCTATTGCAATAGAAAAACATTGTGAAGATTTTAACGGGCAGCTGGCTGTTGTATCTGATAGAACGAGTCGCTACGAGATATAATAGAACTGATGTAAATGCTTTTTTTTTTTTATAAATATGGCGCGCCTATAGAAAATGTATGCTTGAAATGCTATATAATTTTATGGACATACGTTGTGGAACCTAAAGAAAAATGTCACTGAGTTATGACTTAATAACAGTGTACGATCAGTCACCAATTTTACGTATGCCTCTTAGCAGAGCTCTTAAAATTTTTTTATTAAGTTTGTTATATGAAGCGAATTAATTGGCCATATATGCAATATAGCCCCTTTTAAGAGGCGATTCTCGGCTGTTGAGATTTCACAATAGCAGGCAATAGAGTGACAAGAACGTGAGGTGCAAATAACGAAGAGATTACTTATTCTTTTTAGGATAGTCCTTGTAGA